GTGTGTGTGTGTGTGTGTGTGTGCGTGTGTGCGCGTGTGTTAGGGCATGGCACGGGAAATGACGCCAGCGCGGCAGCGGGAGCACGAGTCGAAACGGGCGGAAGCGCGGAAATGAGGCCAACGCTGCAGCGGGAGCACGATTCGGAACGAGCGGAAGCACGGAAATGAGGCCAGCGCTGCAGCGGGAGCACGATTGGGAACGAGCGGGGCCCGAAAATGAGGCCGGCGCCTCAGCGAGAGCAGCATTTTAGAAAAGAAACACAAGCGAAAACCCAACTCCGGGGAATCCTGTGTGTAAAAAAAACAGTACGCGGGGGGGTGCCGAACATCTTCCGGACGCCATCAGGGGAAGTGGGAGAGTAGTATTCATATTGTGTTATTGTGGAGGAGGAGGAGGAGGAGGAGGAGGAGGAGGAGGAGGAGGGAGGAGGAGGAGGAGGGAGAGAGGAGGAGGAGGAGGAGGAGGAGGAGGAGGAGGAGGAGGAGGAGGATCGCTGAGCAGGAGGAGGGGGAGGAGGACGTGGAGAAGGAGGAGGGGGAGGAGGGAGGACGAGGCGCGGGCCAACTTCGGATGGACGCTCCGGCGCAGTGCAGGAGACAATTAAAAAGATCCTGGCCGCGGCGATTGTGCCGAGGATATTGACAAGACTGGAGGCGGCGCGGGGGAAAGTGCAATGTGCGTACCAGTCTTGGTTTCGGCGCCGACGAGGGCTTGCACTGCGTGGAACAAATCTGGGACTTGCTCATGCACCAAACTAAGTTCTGTGGATAGTGAGCCTGGACCTTAAAACACCGTTCGATAAATCCGTCCACGAGGCGGTCCAGTTTGATTGGGCGGCGTTTGGTGGTTCATGTGTGCAGTGCATGCATCCTAGGAGCCGACCTTCATCTTGATAGGAGCGGCTCTCAGATGACAAACCATCCAGGAAGCGCAATGGCTTTATAAGCAGCCGAAGACGACTGGCTACATGCCACCGCTCGCCATACACGCGATACATTTTGATGGTGGATCACTTCTTTGGGCCAGGGATGTGGCATGGGAGAGCATCGCTGCAGCAGATTTTGCACCAGATGCGTCCATATACCTGCATTGTTCCTGATCAGGTCAGGCAGGTGCTTGATCGGCACATGCTACACCTGAGATGTTGCAAATTAGCAGGAATCGGTTTCACTCCAAAGCACCACCTCATTGGGCATTTAATTTTCAAGCCAGCGGGATTGCAAACCTACCCCCGCCCTCGCGACCAAGCCTAACGACGGGGAATGGCCTACAGGGGTGGTGTATTTGATCGGGTTCAGAGGCGACGCGTTCAATTGACGTTAGCGTCGAACCGCAGCGTTCGTGGAGATTTTCATTGGCAGCGGGCATACGGTAGGTTCATGCGGCGATGGCGCGCCAGCGACGCCGGCGAAGGCGGTCAAGTTGAAGTTTGTGACGCGGAATCACCGAGGGACACGGTAACGCCACTGGACCCGACGGAATACAATTCTTCACGCTTCGCGTATCCCCACCAGCCCATCTCAAAACAGCAACTCTTGCGAAACATGAGGCCTCGTGGTGCCTCCTGGGGACCTCTTGTGGGCCATCTGGGGCACTCTAGGGGCCATCTGGTGGACCTCTGGGGGCCATCGTGGGGGGCTTGTATGAGCGCTGCCCGTCCTCCTGGTGTGACTCGTTCGGGCTCCTCGTGGTGTGAGTCGTTCGAGGCCCGCGTCGTGGTGTGAGTCGTTCGGGCTCCTCATGGTGTGGGTCGTTCGGGCGGCTCGTCCTGGTGTGAGTCGTTCGGGCCTCTCCTTGTGGTGTGAGTCGTTCGGGCTCTTCGTGGTGTGAGTCGTTCGGGCCCCTCGTCCTGGTGTGAGTCGTTCGGGCTCCTCGTGGGGCCTCTTGGGGGCCTCTTGGAGCCTCTTGGGGCTCTTGGGGGCCTCTTGGGGGCCTCTTGGGGGCCTCTTGGGGCCTCTTGGGGCCTCTTGGGGGCCTCTTGGGGGCCTCTTGGGGGCCTCTTGGGGCCTCTTGGGGGCCTCTTGGAGGCCTCTTGGAGGCCTCTTGGGAGCCTCCTGGGGGCCTCTTGGGGCCATCTTGGGGCCTCTGGCGATCTCTTCAGAAGCGCAAATGAGCGCTGCCCCTTGAGAAAGACAAAATGAGCCCCAAACCTTTTGTAAAATCAACGATTTTGCTATGAAGGAAGAGGAGCGCGGCCCCCTCAGGAGGCCAAAATGGGGCCAAAGCCGTAGTAAAATCAATGATTGTTGCTTCAAAGAAGAGCAGAGGGGCCAAACTCGGCCCCCCCGTCGGGGCCAGAATCCTCGTGAGGGTCGTAGTTTTTTGGCCCTCCCAGGAGTCGGAAAAGACCCCCCTGAGAACACTCGGGACTCCCTGTCCAGGCCCAGGGGGAGGGGGTAGGGGGAGGGGTAAACCCCTCCCCGAAGGGGAAGAAGGGGGGTTGAGGACAGAGAGAGCTCTCTAAACCACTCACGCCCAAAGGGCTGGTGGGATTTTAAAAGATCGGGGCCGCGATCGATCCAAGGTTGAACGATCGCCGCGGTGCCAAAAACTTTTGCGCGCGCCAACGCCACATGAACCTACCGTACCTCATACACGGTCTCAGGAGCTGAGGAACATGAGGACATTTGTTGCGCGGTTCTCGTGGGTAGAATGGCGGCCGCCTCCGTCCCAGCTTTCCAGGGCATCTGCACGGCAGTTTGGCTGTTGGGTGGTGGCACGTGCGTGACATTGCGATTTCCAGTCCAGGGTTTCGAACGGGGAGAAACATGTCCTGCCGGGGGGCCATGGTCGCAGGGGACAGGGTTGACGGTCTGTTCTGATGCAGTCAGGTTGGTTGGTTGCATTGGCTCTGTGCAGTGGCAAAGGTGTTCCCCAGCGGGTCGGTGCATTCTGCACCGTCTACAATGTCGCGCAGTGCTTCGCGGAGGGAGGCGGCAGAGGCAACTCACGCAGTCCACGTAGGATAAGCTGGGCTATGTGAATCGTTTACGGAATACCATACGGTACATGTCTGAGTCGTGCACGAGTCCAATGTAAAGCGCATACGATTCCGATGGGGGTCGCACGCGACTCTTGTGTGAATCGTAAACGACTCTTATGTGCACCCTATACGTTTCTTACGCGAATCGTCTACGATTCCGACTCGAGCTTTACACGCCGATTTGATTCGCCGACGACTCCTACATGAATTGGACGCGGTGACTGCGTGAGCCGTATATGGTTTTGGTGTAAATCGTGTACGACTCCTACGGCAATCGCGTGCGACTCTTACGTGGATCGGATTCGAAACCTGTGTGAATTGCGAACGATTCCCTCGTGAATCGGAGACGACTTTTGTCAAACGCACGCGCGTGATATGTGAATCGTATGCATCGTACGCGACCGTTTTGCGAATTGCATACGATTCCAAGGTGAATCGTCTACAAAACCATGTGAATCGTATGCGGATCGTCTACGGGCCGCGTGCGAGCACAATCGTATACGATTCCCATGTTGGCCGTTCACGATTCCTATGCGAATCGCATCCGATTTGAATCGTATACAAAGCCTATGTGAGTCGCACGCGTTTCCCATGCGACTCGTGTACGATTCCTATGCGCATTGCATACGATTCCTATGTGGTTCGTCTCCTGTTCCTATGTGAATCGCAGGCGTTTCCTATGTGAACCGCATACGACTCCAAAAGGAACCCTGAGGAACCTTGTAAAGGAACCCGAAGGAACCGCGCATATGCCCAAGGAATCCCAAGGAACCCGACGCAATCCTCAAGAACCCGCAGGCTTCCTAAGGAACCCCTGAAGACCCCAAGGGATCGGAGGGAATGCACCGCAGTGGGGCCCTGAGGAACTCCCCGGGAATAACTTGGAATCCGGAAGCGAACTCCAAGGAACCCTGAAGGAATCCCAAGTATAACCAGGGAACTTTCTGTTACACCCTCGTGCGCCCTCAGGAGCTCTGAAAGAATCCGCGGGCCCGCTGTGGCCCCCGGAGCCCGAACAAGAACTGCGAGCCACATCCACGGCCCGTTTCCTCCGGGACCCGTGCACCCCAAGAGCCATTGAGGATACGGGCGCGGACGCAGAGAGCGAAGGGTCTTTGACGGCCACGGCGAACCTCGGCCACAGCAGGGTCTCCGGACTCTGATCCAAGGCCCTCCCGAGCCAAAGGTGTTCCTCCGCCTCTTCCTCCGCGCCCTCCTTCTCCCCCTCCTCGCCCTCCCACCGCTCCTCCCCCGCCCCCCCCCCCCTGCCCCCATTCCCGGACGCGCCGTCCTGCCCGCAGGCCGCGGGTGAGTCCCGCGACGACGAGGACGAGGAGGGAGGGGGACGACAGATCATGAGGGAGGAGGCAAGAGAATGCGACGAGGGTTTGGCGTTTCGCGTTTGTTTGTTGGGGTTTGGCGTTTGGGGTTTGGCGTTTGGTTTTTGGGGTTGGGCGTTGGGTGTTTGGGGTTTGGTGTTTGGCGTTCAGGGTTTGTTGTTTGGTGTTTGGGGTTTGGTGTTTGGAGTTCGATGTTCGGGGTTTAGTGTTTTTGGTTTGCCGCTTGATGTTTCGGGTTTGGCGTTTGGGGCTTGGTGCCTGGGGATCGGGGTTCGTTGCTCGGGGATCGGTCTCTGGGCGTTGGGGTCCGTTGCCTGTGGTGCTGCGCTTGGGGTGTCAGGTTTGCCGGTCGGGATGCGGTGTCTGCCGCTGTTTGGTGTTTTGGGTGCGGGCGCGCGCGGTGCTCGGGGGTCCTGAAGGCCCAACTGGGGCACGGGCTCAACCCTGCCAGGGCGTGGCCCGTCCAGCCCGGGCATGGCCCGTCCGGCTGGGGCGTGGGAGTTGCTCCCCCCGCCCCCCCGAGCTCTCGGCAAGCAATAAACATCGCCCTCCCCCTCCTCGTCCTTGCCCTCGCTCCCCTCCTCGCGCCCCCCCCCCCCCCATTCACCCTCCTCCTCGCTCTCCCTCCTCGTCCTCCTCCTTTCGTCTCCCTCCTTCGCCCTCCACCCTGTCATCCCTTTCCTCGCCATTCCCCTCCTCGCCCCCCACCTCTAGAGTTGTGATCGAGGAGATTCCCTCTGCGGGCGCTAGCGGGCGCCGCGGGCTACTTTCGCTTTGTGGTTCGCCAGTGGGCTGTCGTTGGGTCATTGTTTGTCCAGGCGGATTGTGCTCGCTGGTTGCACGACGCAGGGATGTTGGGCTTGCCTGTGCGGTGAGGGCAAGGTAATTCAGTGCATTTCCAGTCGGGTCGGTGCGTTGTCTTTATTGTCGTCGTCGTCGTCGCGATCGCAGCCGTCGTCCTCATATTGGCGTCGCGCAGCTAATCGCGCGCAGTTAAGAGCTCGCCACAGTTGTGGCGAGCTCGATCGGATATTGTAGTGGCCTTCGGCCAGTGCCGCCGATCCGGGTCGCTCGGTGTTATTCTCCAGACGCAGACATTATGGGCGCACATTCAAACGCACAAACTTCTCGGGTTACCTTCGAAAGGTCGTAGGAATGCAGTTGGGTCAATAGAGCCATCTCGCAACAGTGGTTCTATCAACGGCGGGGTGCTTGCAGTGACCGTGGGGACGGGAAATAATAATGACATGAAAATTCCATACAGGATGCCGATCACTTTGGAAACTCACGATACGTCGTGCACGGAGTCGTGTTACGAAACATGTGGCCTGGACGATGTGGTGCGAGCGGTGGAGGCGAGCCTATCGGCGCAAGGACGCCCTCTTGGGGCGTTTTTTGAGCCATCTTAGGAGCCTGTCAGGGCGTCGTGGGGGCTTCTTGGGGGCTTTCGGAGGCCCTCTTGGAGGCTCTTGGGGCCTCCTGGGGGCCTCGTAGGCTGGAAGGCTAGATTTTGTCCTCTTTTCGTCCCTCTTTTGGGTCCTCTTGGGGCCGTCTTGGGGGCCTGTTGGGCCGTCTTGGGCGGCTCTTGGGCCGCCTTGGGGCCCTCTTGGGTCGTCTTGGGACTGTCTGGGGGCCTGCTGGGCCGTCTTCGAGCGGTCTTGGGGGCCTCGTGGGCCGTCTTGGAGCGTCGGAAAGCAGAAAAAAGCGACAACCCCAAAAACATTGAAAAAACCAGTGGGAATCAACGATTTTTGCCTCTGGGGGCCATCGTGGGAGGCCTCTTGGAGGCCTCTTCAGACGTCGTGGAAGGCTCTTGGGCCGTCTTGGGGCCATCTTGGGCTTTGGGGTCTCGGGACTTTCGTAGACCGTCCTCAGAGACTTTTGCGGCCGCGGCCACCCTTCCAGCGCATCCTCGAGATTAGAGCCTTCTGTAAAAGCAGCGCCCCGCATCCGCCGGAAACTCGCACCCCCCCCCCATCCCCCCTTCCCCGGCAGAGCCACCCCGGCAACCCCCCCAGAGGTTGAGGCTCAGCCTCGAGGCTGTAGCTGAGACTCCTTGAAACTCACACGCCGGATCGGCGGATATCCGCTGGCGGAATTATTTTCTCACTGTTGATCGCCTTTGGGCTGTTGTTGGCAATGTTTTTCATGGTGGATGTTGCCCGCTTGTCTACCTCGCACGGCAGGGGGATTGTGAGCTTGTTTGTAAAAGCGAATGCAAGATACTTCGCAAGATAGAGGGGTCTTTTGGTGCGACATCTGCGCGCATTATTGAAACCTTAGAACCTGCTACGTGGGTGGGGGTGGTGATGGTGCCATGTAATATTGCGGTGGCCGGTCAGCGATCGCATTGCGATGTTATCTATTTGTTCGGCGTGAGCGATCGCCGTGTGGAACAAACCGTGCTGATGGATGGCGGTTCCTCTCGGAACGGGGATATCGCTGGCTGGTTCCATGGTTTTGATGTTCATGTTGGCCGCGCTTCTGATCGTCTGAAGGATCGGGCAACTGCGATGTAGCAAACATCGGGGCATTTGACGGAATGCCTGTACTACTTTATGCGGAGGGACTTCAGATGAGACGGCGCGTCACAGCATCGTCATGTAATTTGCGTTTCAGATGGCATGTGTCCTTCGATTCCCTTCTTCCCTTCCCTTTCCAAAGCTGTTCAGAGTCCATCCCCCGACTCATTTGGGGGTCCATCCTGGCTGGTGGTTGGTCCCGAATTCATTCGTGATCGCCCGGGGTCCGAAAAGGGGCCAAAAGAAACCGAACATGGCAGGACGTTTTCTCGCCCCACCCCCGTGATCACCGTCCTTCTCGCCCTTCTCATCGTCGCCGTCCTGCTCGTCCTCCGGCCACGGCTGCGGCCCCGGCGGCGACGACGATCGCTCGGAGGTGCTGGAGCGGCGACGGCGACGACGGCGACGGCGACGACGGCGACGACGACGACGACGGCGGCGTCGGCGGCGGCGGTGTGCGGCGACGAGGGCTCCTCGGAGCCGGTCAGCCGCGCGCGCGTTGCGTGGCGCGGCGCGAGCCTGTGGGACCACCTGCTGGTCTCGCTGTACGACGCCCACTCCACGCTGGGGGGCCCTGCGCTGCTGGAGGCCGGGCGACGGGGGGGTGGAGAGCTGCACGGGGAGGGGAAGGGCGAGGACGCCTCCTCTTCCTCCTCCTCCGCCGCCTGCTCCCTCCTCTCTCCGCCTCCTCATTTCCTGCCTCCTCCTCCTCCTCCTCATCCTCCTGGCCATTTCGGCTGGGCGACGGATGGGCGGGCGCGATCTGCAGCCGCCGCCCAGCTTGCATCGGCGTACTGCGAAATGGTGCGGCGTCGATGCGAACCATCGATGGCTTGGGAGCTGCCGTGTGGAGGTCACTCGTGCGGCCGCTGCGGCTCCGCGGTGCGGCCGCTCCTGGGCGGCTGCGCCGCAGTGCCCGTCGTTGGCGCCATCGTGCATCAGTGGGCAGTGCAGGCTGGCCCTCTGCAGCCGAGCCACGGTGCCTGCAGCGGTTGGCCCGTGGCGGCTCTCGGGGATCTCGATGGGGCAGCAGGCGGCGCCAGCTTGGCGCCACCTGCGGCGGCGCTTCGGAGCTGCCGAGGGACCGATGTCGCGTCGGAAGACGACACGAAGAGGGCTCGTTGTGCGAAGCAATGGCGGCTGCACTGAGCGGCTGACAGGCCCCCAGGCGCCCGGCGCGGGCGCAGAGGGGAGATGCCAACCTCCGGCGCGCGCCGCGCCGCCGCCTAGCACGTGGCTCCGCGGCCCGCGGCAGCGACTCCGACGACGGCGGCGTGGAGGATGGCGACGGCTTCAACCTCGCGGTGCTCGGTGGTACGGCCGTGGCCGAGCCGCGGGCTGACGCCGCCGCAGCTCGAGGGGGGCTTGGTCAGCGTTCAGCTGGTGGCGGGCCAGGGGTTCGAAAACATTGCGTTCGTGCTCAAGCCAGTGGCGCTCGAGGGGACGCAGAACCTCATGACGGTCAAAGTGGTGCTGCTGGTGTTCGCGCATTTGCCAGAGCTCGAGTTCATGAGAGTGGCGATCATGCGGGAGTTGCTGGCGTTCAAGGAGTCGCGGGTGTTCCTGGAGCTGCTGTTGGTGTGCATCAAACCGATCATGTTTGTGGAGCCGTTGACGTGCAAGGAGCCGCGGACGAGCGTGGAGTTGCTTACGTGCATGGAGTTGCTGAAGTTCATGGAGCTGCGGCCGTCGTTCGTGGAGCTGCCGACGTCCATGGAGCCATGTCCGTTCGCGGAGCCGCGGACGCTCGCGGAGCAGCTGCTGACGTGCGTGGAGCCGCTCAGGTTCAAGGAGCTGCCGACGGGCGTGAAGCTATTGTCGACGCTCGTGGAGCTGCTGCAGGCGTTCGTGGAGAGCCGCTGTCGTTCGTGCTCGAGCCGCCGGCGGTCGTAGTGGAGCGGATGGTGATTGCACGGCCGCCGGAGTTTCGCGTGAATGGCGATCACGCGGGACCCATTGGCACTCGAGGGTCAGCAGGCGTTCCTGGAGCTGCTGCTAATTAGCTACCGTGCATGGAGCCGTCCAGGTTCCCAGTGGTGCTGACGTGCATGAAGCCGCGGACGCTCGTGGAGTTGCTCACGTGCATGGAGCGGCTGACGCGGATGGACGTGGTGCCGCTGACGTGCGTGAGGCTGTTGACGTTCGTGGTGCCACTCTCGTTGGTGGAGCTGCTTACGTTCATGGATCAGCTCCCTTCGTGCGTGGATCCGCTATTGTTCGTGGAGCTGCTGACGTGCGCGGAGCCGCTGCCGACGTTCGTGCACCTGGTGACGCGGATGGAGCCGATGCCAGTCACGCGGGAGCAGCTGGCGTTCCAGGAGCCGCAGGGGATCCTGGGGCTGCTGCTGACGCGCAAGGAGCGCATGTTCGTGGAGCCGCCGACGTGCACGGAGCCGCCGACGTTCGTGGAACCGAAAATGCGCGTGGAGCTGCTATTGTGGATGGACGTGCTGACGGCGTTCGTGGAGCCGACGACGTTCGTGAGGCTGCGGACGTGCATGAAGCCGCTGAGGTTCCTGGAGCTGCCGGCGGGCGCGGAGCTGCTGGCCACGAGGCGGAGGCCGGCAAGGAGATGGAGTTCCACGGATTCTTGGAGGGCCTCCGGGACTTCGCGGAGACGGCACGGCAGAGGGATGCCGACCCTCGCGCGGCCGTTGGGTCCTTGCTGCACGGGCTGCCCCTGAGCTCTGAGCAGCGAGCAAGCGCAGAGGCTGCCCTCCAGCCGCGGCGCACACGGCGCCAGCGGCGGGGACGAGGCCGCCTTGCGCTTTTCGGCCGTGGCCGTGGCGGTCGGCCTCTCTTGCAGGCATGCGTGATGCTCTCTCTGGCTGGGGCCCGCCGCAGGGCGGGGGTCCCCAGCGCACGGCAGGTGCGTGGCAGCCGAGGCGCTCCTAGCGTGGGCCGTGGGGGGCCTGGCCGTTCGGGGCGTCCGCGGGGCGGCCGCTGTCGGCTTCTGGTGATCGGTTTTCGCGGGCCGCAGGTTGCTTGGCTATGGCCTACTTCCGCCGGGGGGCCATCGCTTGGGCAGCTTGCTTTCGGGTTGTCCTCGGGCCCCTCGTCGCCGCCTCTTGGGGCGTCGCCGACGCTCTCTCGGGGCACAATGGCTCCTGGCCGCTTGATCCTATCATCTCACCTTCTTGGCTCGTCTGGAGTGCTGCGCAGTGTGGTTGAGCAAAATTCTTTACGCTTCGCGCATCCCCACCAGCCCATCTCACAGCAGCAACTCTCGCGAAGCATGCCGACAGTCGTGTTTTTCAGGCGTGAGTCCGCTTGGCCCCGCATATCTCCCCTGTTCCTCCTTCCTCCCGCCTCCTTGCACATCCTCCTTGTAGGGGGAGCGGGAGAAGGACGAGGCGAAGGAGGAGGGAGAGAAAGCGTTCCTCGTGGTTTGAGTCGTTTGGGGTTTCTCGTCCTGGTCTGAGTCGTTCGGGCCCTTCTTCCTGGTGTGCGTCGTTCGGGCTCTTCGTGGTGTGAGTCGTTCGGGCTCTTCGTCCTGGTGTGAGTCGTTCGGGCTTCTCGTGGTGTGAGTTGTTCGGGTCCCTCGTCCTGGTGTGAGTCGTTCGGGCCCCTCCTCCTGGTGTGACTCGTTCGGGTCCCTCGTGGTGTGAGTCTTCGGGCCCCTCCTCCTGGTGTGAGTTCGTTCGTGGTGTGAGTCGTTCGGGGCCCTCGTCGTGGTGTGAGTCGTTTGGGCTCCTCGTGGTGGCTTGCATGAGCGCTGTCCCTCCTCCTGGTGCGACTCGTTCGGGCTCCTCGTGGTGTGAGTCGTTCGAGGCCCGCGTCGTGGTGTGAGTCGTTCGGGCTCCTCGTGGGGTGAGTCGTTCGGGCGCCTCGTCCTGGTGTAAGTCGTTCGGGAACCTCTTTGTGGTGTGAGTCGTTCGGGCTCTTCGTGGTGTGAGTCGTTCGGGCCCCTCGCCCTGGTGTGAGTCGTTCGGGCTCGTGGGGCCTCTTGGAGCCTCTGGGGGCCTCTTGGGGGCCTCTTAGGGGCCTCTTGGGGGCCTCTTGGGGGCTTCTTGGGTCCTCAGGGGGCCTCTCGGGGGCCTCTTGGGGGCCTCTTGGGGCCTCAGCCGTAGCCATTTTGGCTCAAGCTGGTTCCTTCCCTCTCCGTCCGTCGCGGGGCGCGGTGGCTGCGCGGGCTGGCAGGCGAGCTGAAGGGGATGGCTGCGGGGGGCCGCCCGTCGCGAGGCGATGGCGGCCTGCGGCGAGGCGAGTGGCCGACGCGGCGACGCTGGGGCCCACCGCCGCACGCCGCGCGGCGCGGGCGCGAGCTCGCGCGGCCTGTGAGGCGGCCCTTCGGGCGGCCGTGGGCGCAGGCAGCGCCCCAGGGTCGTGGCGCGATCGGGAGATTGCCTCCCGGCCGGCGCTGCGCTACCGGGCGGAGGGGCGCCGAGTGCCTGGCGCGGCCAGGCGGAGGCGCAACGCTGCTCAGCACGCAGGGCGGGTACCAGCTGGCGGCTTCGTGACGGCATCCGAGGCGGAGCTGGCGCGGGCTGCTGGCGGGCCGAAGCTCGACGTGCAGGGAGCCCAGTGCAAGCGGGGCGCAGGGGGCGAGCAGGGGCAGCGGGCTTCGGCGCAGCTCAGCGTGGGCTGGGAGGCAATGCTGGAGCCCGAAGCGCTCAGCGGGAAGGTGATCCACGTGGCCGAGTTCGAGGCCAGGCTGCTCTGCCTGGCTGATGCGCGCGCCGACGCGGAGGTCGCCGAGCGGAGCCTGACGGTGGAGCTCGGGGGCAGGCTCTGCGACGTGGAGCAGGAGACGCTTCCCTCCTTCTACCCCTCGGCGACGGAGAAGGTGCAGGAGGACGGGAAGGAGACTGAGCAGGTCCAGATGGTGTCGAAGGACGTCGTGGACGTGGGCTCGGCGAGGAGCGCGGGGGAAGGCGGCTCGGCTTGGCTAGCGCCAGGTGCCTGGCAGGCGGTGGACCCCGAGGCGGAGGCCAAGGTCTTCGCGGAGGGCATCGCGGCTGGGTGGCGCCTCGCTGGGCTGGAGAAGGGCGCGCCGTGGGACCTCGTGCGAGGCGGGCGGCTGTTCGAGTGGGACGGCCACCAGCAGCACAAGAAGCAGGCTGTGGCGAAGCGCTGGGCTGCACGGCGGAGGCGGCGAGCGGAGTCCAGCCAGGGCGCGGGCCTGATGCAAAAGGTGCGCGCACGCGCAGATCATCTGGCTCTCAGAAGGGAGCTGGACGCAGAGATTGCCCTTAACCACCACATCAAGGAGCTGTGGCGGAAGCGCGCCCGCCAGGCCACGAGCATGTGAGGCGGGGGGCGGCGGAGTCAGGCCGCCTGGGGGCGGCGTCGGGCCTTATGGCGGGAATCCGCTGGGGGCTTGGGGGAGAAAAAAATGCCTCTTGGGGCCTCAGGGGGCCTCTTGGGGGCCTCTTGGGGGCCTCTTGGGGCCTCTTGGGGGCCTCCGGGGGGCCTCTTGGAGACCTCTTGGGAGCTACTCGGAAGCGCCAATGAGAGCTGCCCCCTGAAAAAAAAATGAGCCCAAAACCTTCGTAAAAGCAATGATTTTGCTATGAAGGACGATGAGCGCGGCCCCCTTCAGAGCGCCAAAATGAGGCCAAAACCGTAGTACAATCAATGATTCTGGC